ATCCTAATTTACGCATAGCTCGACTTCACTTCGTTTCTGTGAAGTTCTAACTGGGAGTTTGTTTTCGCGCCTTCAGTTCACAACGTGTGAAATAGTGCGAACCGGTTCTGAAGTAAGCCACAGAATTTAGCAGAACGAGCGAAGGCTGTCTTTGTTCTCTCAGCTAATATTTGAATGCTCCCTGGAACTGTTTGCTCTGCGGGGAAGCGAGCTTTTGTCCGGCGTTCGGCTGCAGCGTTGTTTACTTGTCGCCCGAGAAGTTCGAAATTGAGATAGGCGTTTGGCGGCCGAGGCAGGCGCGTTTCTGTTTGGAATCTTTGGAGTGTGGCCGTCATTTTCTGAACGACATTTGTCATTTCGAAGGCGCCTGCAAGATGACGACGCTCCCTGCCCTTTATGCACGGACTTAAAATGTTGCTCGGGTGACAACGTTACCGCTTGCGAACATAGGTGCCTTGCGTATATGGGCTAACATACATAGTACGCCATCTGAAATTCTCCCCTCTAACACATATTCGTTACTAAACGTGATAGATTTTATGCAGATCTCTCTTACTGTTACGATTTCGCTGATAAGCACGAATACTCTGTAAAATAAATTGATCGAACTCGGGCGTTCAGTGCAACACTGTGTGGTCAACCCAGGCTACCAAAATGGAGCTATTCGCCTCGTGGATCACCGGTGGCGTCTCTGTGAACGGCGATCCGGTGACACAAATAGAGGATTCGTCTTGTGTCGTCTGCTAGGCTCTGGCTAGGACAGCACGTTTACTTTTAACGTCTATTTTACACACCCACATCCATCGCGGTCGGGAACATGCCCACGAGTTAGTGGCGTAATTCACTGCTTTTGGTCAATGGTGGTGAAATATCTTAAATGAGCACTGACATCAAATTTGCTCATGCCAAGATTTTTGCATCAGCGAGTAGCTATAGACCCCGTAGCAGCGATTCGCGACCTAAAACGCAACTGAGGGATGAATAACTATCACTTTTATTGATGTATACTACTGTGATCTAGCACTATTCAAAAACGACCGGCAATCCCGTCATTTATAGCGCTGCGAGCACCAGCAGTAGCGCTACCTCGCGGTCACCTCCAGATCACGCCACAGCTGACCACTTCTCCACAGAAGAGAGTGACGTCATGCGCAGCTGCTCCGCAAACATTTCGCCTGCTAGGCGGACACATTCAGTCATGCCTTGTCACCTGCATTGCTGTCGTCGCCGTACAAAGTGTCGACTCGGGTTCAATATGGTAGTCTGGAGCTTGGAATCCCCGCGATTCGCGACGTCGCGAATTATTTTTGCTTCGATCGACCTTTTGCAGAACAGTGATTCCGAAATGGACGCCGTTCCATGCAGCACTGCAGAGGTGCCCGAGGATGCACGTTTCAGCCATCTTCGCTCGTGTGTGTCAGTTAGCTATATTGGTGTGTTTTGGCGTGCAAAGCATTCAGTTATACGCAGAGGGGTCAATGCAATATATCTATCGCGAATGAGCATCAGCGGAAAAATAGAATGCGTTTCCTGCTTGTCAGGTTCTTTTTGGCGCCTCCAGATGGCCCTACCTATCCAGCCTCTCGCGGTTAACACGGTATTACCACTTTTACGTGGACGCAAAATGTACTGATGAACTAAAATTCAACGATACCTGCATGTTGCTTGTTAGCGACGATATCGGACTACACGCTCTTCCACTTTTGATAGCTTGTGGTCGTGTCGATGTGTAACACATACGTGATATGAAAAGACACCCACATTGCGTTTTTTCCGTGCTTTGCAACTGCAACTCACCTGCAACCCACAACTTTCCCCGACACGCTGACCGACAAGCACACGTTTAATCATGCTCTTTTCTTTCGCCATTCTTTTAAAGGTGGTTTTTATTTTGATAATTTCACGAAATCATTCGAACAGGTTCGATGAAAATCAGACGCGACGAGCCACGGCCGGGCTAGACTGCACCTGCGTACGCTAGCCCGGCCCTAGACCGGCCGTGGACGAGCGAGTGCGTTTCTGCACATCGGCGCCACGTTAAGAACACTCTGATCGTACACGTACGTCATCGCTACTAGGGCATCGTCACTCAGGGTGGTATTTGTGGAATGTATCACCCAGAACACGTAGCACTAGTGTCGATGTTGCAGGGCACATAACACACATATGTTTCGTTTTTTTCTTAGCTTTTCTACGCTATTTGACGTCGAATTAAAATAACTTCCACGCGACGGATGCCGTTCAAATTTGGCGAACAAGCCCTGTGCATACCAAGCGATCGAATGATGGGCACATCTCGATCTTGAAATTCGATGTCAGTGCTCCTTTAAGTGAAAGCGCAAACGTCTCGCCAAGTGTGTTAGCGAGAGCGTATACGCTGCTTTGGAAGTGAAGCCGATCAGGTTTATTTTGCGATAGCAATTATATGGACGCTCTAGGCCGTATTTTGCCGCCGGCGTCGCCGTCACTCACCGTAAATGTATACGTATCTATTGATGTTGCTCTGTATGATACGTGTCTTGTGAATTGAGCGTCATGCCACCGTACGCTTCAAATATGCAACACCAACACGCCCATATCTATCACTCTTGTGCCAAAATCTGAGCGCAATGTTACTGCGTTTCGCTCCCGTGGAATTGCAACTGGCGTATGCGGGAATCGACCTCATGACTTCGATCCTAGCACCACAACACCTCATCATACTAACTTATCGGTGGATGTTTTTGCCCTCAAGATTTGTACGTATAAACGCTCAGCGCGAACCCGCAGCACAAATCTGTTTACACTGAGTGGCGACGAGAAGCCTATAGCCATCAGCTGAATAAAAAACTTTGCACGGCTCACGGTATTTTTAAGTGTATTAGGCTAGCAAGTTCCACCACTTTCGCACTGCCAGTGGTTGTCTCGGAAAGCCAGAGCCCAATCGCGCAATGTACAGCGGTTGTCTATTTGCTGTGGTTTCATTCACAAACACGATTTTTTTTTAATACGAGTCCGGCCGGAATCGTCGCAGCAAGCTGCGTTGCCGTGTCCTCAGACGAGAGCAGGGCCTTCCCAGCTTACGAGTGGTATAAATCGCGGCTTCAGGTCTATCGTATATAGGAGTGGTCCGCCTCGGTGGAACGGTGGCTATACGATGCTAGGCTCCTCACCCGAAGGTCGCTGGTTCGATCCCGGCGGTCGAATTTTGTTGGAAGTGAAATGGACCATGTACTATGCGATGTCAGGGTAGGGGGAACAGTAAGTGCTTCCACGCTCCTCTTCGCTTATGTCTACTAATTTTCCAGACGTGTCCGATCACTTCGTTATTTACGTTGAACAACACCAGATTGTCGAAATTTCCGAAGCCCTACACTACGGCGTCTCGGATGATCATCTCGTGATTTTGGGACGTAAAACCCCAGATATTATTATTATTTGTTATTTATCGTGGGAGGGCTATCGGCGTGCGATGAAATTTCTGACGTCATGAGCGACTTCCGTGACTTCGTCAAACCTCGTTGTCGTCACCATGACATTGCATCGCAGCAGCATGGTGCATCAGAGCGGGCCCGAACTGTGACAAATCGGTTCTATCCGAGCGCGCCAACATGTCATGTTGGTTGCGCTTGATTATGTAGGACAAAGAACAGGCACAAATGCCGTCGTGTTTGTCTGGACCGCTGCGTGGAAAATGGTTGCTAGATTTATCTGGTGGCGTCCCTATAACGCCACGTGCATCGGCGACAAACCTCAGGGGTTGGTTCTTCATTGCCCGTTTCGCTGAGTGGCCTGTTGCGGTGATTACTTGCGCTCTCTTCTCGCCCCGCCGCGGCGGTCTAGTGGCTAAGGCATACTAGAGTTACTGTATATGCTACCTTTAGGTAGCTATTTAAAGGTAGCGTATACAGTAACTCTAAGGTACTCGGCTGCTGACCCGCAGGTCGCGTGATCGAATCCCGGCTGCGTTTCCAATGGAGGCGGAATTGCTGTAGGCCCGTGTGCTCAGATTTGGGTGCACGGTTAAAATTGCCGGAGCCCTTCACTACGGCGGCTCTCGTAATCATATGGTGGTTTCGGGACGTTAAACTCCACATATCAATCAATCAATCGCTCTCTTATAGTACGAGTAGCATGTCGAAAGCCAGGTACGATGTAACGATAGAAAGCGAAATTAATTGTTACATGATACGGTATTTGTAACTTACTCGTATAGAAGAGAAATTTTATTACTGCATTGGTGTAGCATTTATTGTGACAGCCCCCTAGTCCCCCCCCCCCCCTTACGTTGAATGGGCTTATCTGTCGTCGTGTGTACAAGTTCACCTCCATCAGAAGGCGACGCCACACACAGTCGGCCCCTGCAGCCGCTGTAGCCTTTCAATATCGCGAAAGTGATTCACAGTCACCCAGTACGGCTTGACGCATATCGTGATTTTGAGATGTAAAAATCCAATACTATTGTGGGATTTAGCGTCTGAAGTAAGATTTTTCGTAAGGATTTTTTTTAAATTCACCCTGATGGCTCTTTCCCCTATATAACATTGGCTAGCATTCCGTCGATGGGAAGTTCAGGTAAAATAGATAGCAAAAAAAAAAAAAAGATTACATGGTGAAGTTTTTGCACTTCACACAATTTGGTATACTTTTTCGCGTAACTTTCATGGAGACGTTTTCACGGCTCGTCAGAATGCTGTTATTGGGGCATGAAAGGTTTTTACACGTGGAAGCCAAGCAAAAAAAAAAAAAAAAAAAAAGCAGCCGTCGGACGAAGCGATTTGGTGAGACACTTGAACACGCAGGCTTTTATTTATTTATTCATTTATTTTTGCTTGGGAGAGAGGCCGTGCTGGTTACACGTGGCGATTGAAACTCGCCATACTTGTATTTATTCTGTCACCACAAACAGCCCGCTTCCTTTGCCTACGCCGTGAAACGTGCCGTACTAGAAGTGGGCGGCGAGTGGATGCATCCGGTATATACTTGTTGGGCAGCAGCGGTGGTGTCCTTTCTCTGCGCAGGGTGGCACGGACCCGGACGACCAGACGCCGAGCGGCAGCCAGGGCGAGCCGTCGGTCTTCACGGAGTGGCACGTCCCGCTGGCGTCTCGAGACGGGCCCGGCGGCGGCCGTCGCCAAGAGCTGCTGCCACCGGCCGACCTGAGTCCCGGCGGCGGGGCATCGTCCGTGCCGCCGCTCCCATCGCCGAGCAACAAGCGCCGGGGCACTTTTCGGTGAGCCGCTCAACTCTGGCCCGCTCTCGGAAAGGCCTTGACCTCCGTGGGTTCAACAGGCTGTTGTGGCCTTGGCGCCTGACGACAGATGGGTGTGTCTGCGTCGCATATGGCACGCTGCGGTTCGCCAATACGGCCGTAGATGGTGTAACTGGACAGTTGTAGTATACCGGGAGTACCGTGATAGCGGGGTCGAAGGGCGCATGCGCAGACACGTACGTTACTCGCACCGCTTACCGTATGCGCACTATTTTTGCCGATTTACCGTTACCGTGTTAGCGTAGGTGCACGTAAAACATGGCGGTGTTCTCGGGCGCCTGCTTCGGACTGATTTTGGCGTAGTTGTTGAGAGCTTCACTTTGTTCACAGCGAACGACTGTTGAAAGTGGCTTCGCTTGCCTTAAGTTAGCTTCGACGACCGAGTTTAACGGACAAGTTGGCGTAGTTTTTGATATAGCTTCCCATTTTGAACGTGTCTAAGCCTAACTACAAGATCGATGTAAAGAAGTTGGCAACGAATTTTTTCGCGTTTGGTGCGTGGTTAATATTTATTTACTTTCGTTATTACTAAAATAAACTTGTAACAGCGCTTCACGCGGTGACACAGGCAGCCATTGGACGAAGTGCTAGCCGCACAGTGAAACGGGGAAGCGCAGCTCGAGTGGCAGTCACTGTGGCAGAAGCGGGTGTGGACGGCCACGCGTTCTTTCCTGTGCACCTCAAAGACATCTGCACAAAATCGCATAACATCACGAGAGAAACGCAGCAGAGCCGCAGCTCCGCTGTGTTTGCCAACTTTTTTTTTCCTTCGTTGCGCGGGACTTGCACGTGTAATTTTATCCTTCGCTTTCTACTTTGCTTCTCAACAAAGTGAATCGAAAGAGTGAGGAACTAAACAGGTCTCAAAAATGTGTGTTCCGCTTCTCTCGCTAAGTTATAGAGAAGGTGAAATGAAATAGCCAGAGCTAAGAACCAACGAAGTGATCGGACACGTTTGGAAAATGAGTAAACATAAGCTAAGTGGAACGTGGAAGCACTTACGGTTCCCGCTACCCCCAAACACACACACCCTTGTTCTTTTTTTGGGTCTCGTCAAGTGAGGCGTGCTCCAGCGGCTTTTTTTTTTTTTCCTGTGAGTCAGTGCATACAGCGGAGCCATGTTACAAAAAGAGCATGCCCACAGAAACCGTTTTTGCAACTTTTCTCCTCTAATGCACAGAAAAGTCGCCACTGCGCAGGCTAGTTAATGATTTGGGAGATTGTATGTACACTGCTTGTCGAAGAAAACGCATGCACTTCGTTATTGGAGAGGGCCACGGCGAGGTTTCTACAAACTACGCTTTTGTGTGCACTTGACAAAAAACAAACACGGTAGTCAGTGCTGGGCCGGCTCTTTTTCGCATACATCGGCTCATTAGTGACGCGCGTGCATTTCTTGTTCATGTCATTGGCTATCTAGTTTCACTTCAACCTCGAATGCCCCGAAAGACTCCTCATATCGTGTGCCTTATTGTGGGGTGTAGCGAGTTGTGCACATGTCGTCGCGCAAACTGTCCCAAAGAAACACGTTGGCTCTCTGTAACTTGCATGACAGCAAGGGGGAGAACGTCAATACAACGTCAATTAGTGGTGGAAGTGAAAACTCGATGAGGGCGCCCAAACGTGCGTGGGTGGTAGATAGTCGGCAGCATTAGTTGCCCGTCGCCTGTGGTCCGAAATATATAATTCACTATGCGCGCACTCCGACAACGCTGGCAACTGTGTTGAGGTGTGTGTGCACGTGGGTGTGTGTTTGTGTGTGTGTGTTTGTGTGTTTTCCGTGCGTGCCCGGATGATCAAGGCGTGGCAGCTTATTGGCTCCGCGGCTAAAAAAAAATAGTCCCGCTCCGAAAATGTTGATATGTGGAGTTGAACGTCGCCAAAAATGTTGGGGCCGCCTCTTCCATCGCGGATAGGCAACTTCGCACAGTGAGCGTCCCGTTTTAGCGCGCCAAGCTGGCGGCACAGGGCGCCTAACCGCAGCGACTGCAGAACGCGTTGAGCGCGTGTCGCACGCGCTCACGTTTCGGCGAAACACACCCACTTGCCTGCGACCCCTCCCGCGTCTCTCCACAAGTGTTCCGGAGCTCGCCGCCAGGTCCAGGCGCGGCGTTGTCATCGCTCCGCAAACTTGAGCTTCGGTTCCCTATATAGGGGCTTTAGTTTCGGCACGCGCTCGCGTAGTCCACAAACTCTTGTGGTTGACTGTACATACATACATACATACATGCATACATACATGCATACATACATACATGCATGCATACATGCATGCATACATACATACATACATACATACATACATACATACATACATACATACATACATACAGGCTGTGCTAATGCTCATTTTTGGCTACAACCCCTTGTTACACTAGGATTGGCGAATTCCGCTTCGTTCCCTCGTTTTTCCGTCAATTGATATATGGTCCGTGTCGCATGGTCTCCCATACTCCAAGGAAGTGAAACGGAGTGGTTGTCAAGGGGTTCGGTGACCTCTGTTAGCGGCGGAATAGAGTACTCTCTTTCCCAGTTATCTTTACATAGTTACTGGGGAAAAAAATTTGCCAACGCAAAACAAGCGTGCTCAAACGCAATATTTTATCGATATTAAATGTTTTCTTTTTACTGCGTAATCCATGCTTAACACGCTATAACAAAAAAAAATGCGTGTAAAAGGTCATACTCACCTCAGCATACCTCGTGTCGCAATTTCGAATCGGCGTCTCCGAGTCTGTGCGCACCGTTGTGTTCACGCCAGCGCATCTCGTTGCTTTATGGCGGATCTATTTGTTGTACTTCAACATTAGCAAACATCTTAGTGGGACGCCTGTTTTCGTCTTCATCGTCGACGCTGGCAGCTCGTGCAAACTTTTGTGGGACCCATTCACAGCAGCGGCTTCGTGGACTGAACTGCAGTGTACTAGAAGTACACTGTAACTGCACGTGAGACTATTGGAAAGGGCAACGGGATCTAGGCGCAGCTTCAGAGATCTCGACGGCAACTTCCAGTTAGTTTGACAGTCAGCGCATGTACAGAAAACGCGTGCCGGAAACAAAGCAACAGTGTAGCAAGCTTCAATAATGGGTAACTAATACAAGAGCAATCGCGTGTGCGGCGGGCTGTCATACTTAAACCGCACCGTGAAAGGCGCCATAAGGGTGGTCGGTTTCCTTTTCGGCTGGCAAAGGGGAAAAAAGACATGTGCTATCGTAATGCACATCGTGAAACTTCTCACAATAACAATGTGGTTACCAGCGTGCACTTGAAGTCGGCTGACTTTTACAAGAACAGTCACAGCTTTGCTGCAAAGGCTAAGCAATTAATGCAATAGCAACAACTTAGAAGGTCACGCGCCGAATGGCAGGTAGATCGAAAATTTTCCCGCGTTTATCACGCACAAATGACGCACAAAACGTACTCACAGGTACAGATGTACGCGAATAAGTGTCTCAGTTGTTGCTCTGTGTCTGAAAAGCGCGCCCTTTTCGCAAACGAAAAATCTAACGATTGCAGTGACCTTTGTGCGCCCGGTAACTACAACAGAATCGTTTCAGTGAAAGCCCAACGCCAGCCAAGACGTACGATCATCCCCACTGCGAGGTAAGGGGTCGCAAGTGAGCGTCCATCCACCTTTTCTCCGCGGGGTAAGGTACGCGTGGGAGATGAGAACGTGCGCAGCCGTGTCGTGACGATGTGGCGACGCGACGCGCTCATTGAGTCATCTTGCTGGTAATGCTAAAAACACGATAGTTCCCCCCGGGATGCCCGTCAACAGTGGTAAGTGGTAGATATAAATAGCTCGCCTTTTGAACGCTGAAAGAGGTGCTCCTCCGTGGCTCAGTGTTTAGCGCCTCGCATTCACGATTCAGAGGTGCCACGTTCGATTCCGTGCGCCGCAGTCTTTTTCACGATTATTAAAGACGATAGTCTTTCTTGGTGACCTTTGACGTAAAAATTTTGGTCTGTCTGTCTGCACATTTGTCTGTTTCTCCGCTCTTAACGGCACCAAACGATACCCCGAACGGCCGACCCCATCCGCAGCGCCCACCAATATTGCTCGAGATTCAGCGTTCATACTTGTGCGATTGTCAATCGAAAAGCAAATATTGCGCATATGTGAGGCACCATAACAACACGCTAATAATCTGTATGTGTGTCTTTTTACTAGAAAAGGCATACATAAATAATTCTAAGGACCGTATCGTTTATCACGCTGTGCTGACCACGCAACGCTTGCACGGAAAGGCAAGTGTTTCCAACGCTTTACTAAAACGAGACGGTGGTGGCACCTACCCGTCGCCTTGCGTTCTACACCTTATCACCTCCGAGACGGGCGTGCACGCCGCGCGGTTCGTTACAATAGCACGCTAAATATAAAACTATGCTGCTCACTTAAGTCCACCTCCATTCCTGTGTACCTGTAGGGCCGAGCGACACAATTACTGCTGTTTTTATGTCCGTGTACGTTCATGCATAGCACGCAGGGCAGTTTGAATCGGGTGCGTGGGTTAAGCGCGAGTCGGACGTGCGATTTTCTCTGCGATTCGGCGTGCGGTGCGACGATGCGACTGCCGGAGTGGTGACGTTTCGTGACGTTTCGTGACGTATCATCGCGTCGCACCGCCGCATATCCGGTGCGGCGAGCATCAAACCGGCCAGATCAAACCGCCGCATGGCAGCAGCCAATCACAGCGCGAGCATAAGAGTGGCGTCACGATGCTAGTGGCGCCATCTCCCTGTCGCCGCTCCCATCGCCCATGGTCCAAGGCTCCAGGCGAGTCGATGGAGCGGTGCGAGCGTGGATTTGCTGACATCGCCGACTGCGGCGGCGTGACAAACATCGAGCACATTTCCATAGTGACGTGATCTTATTCTGGATTGAATAAAGTGATGCTTGAAGTGTGCCTTTTCTGCACGACAACGCCCGTTTCGAAACCGCTAGCAAGATCGGAGATCG